AAAAAAATTATTGAATAAATTCTGGCTCCAGATTAGGAATACAATATGCCATTATGTACTACATATTTATACAAAGCAGCATTTTCAGTGTTGATTATAAGATCAAATTATCAATCAGCTCTGAAAAAAGGTTGATACTCTATGTTCTGCAATACCAATTACTCAGCTGAGATTTAATTATGTAAGTATAATGCACATCTATCTTAGTAGTATAAAGTTTGTTTTCACCTTTTATATTTAAAAGTATATGTGTAACAAAGAAGTATTTTAAAACAATTTCTTAAGCCAAGTGTGGTGGCACACACCTTTAATCCCTGCACTCAGGAGGCAGAGGCAGGTGGATCTCTGTTTGTTCAAGGCCAGCCTAGTCTACAGAGCAAGTTCCAAGACAGTCAGGGCTACACAGAAAAAAACCTGTCTCAAAATACCAAAACAGAAATGGTTTTCTTTATTATTTATTTTCAGTAAGTGTTTGATTTGTATAGCTATTTTATATACCTATGTATCAGGGACATGGACAAAATGGGATTACCAATAGAAAACATTTAGGAAGCCCTACACTAATGCACTATGAAATAAAAGTTGACCTTGATTCTGAGAGAAGTTTATAATCTCCATTTGAAAGATATTCAGCCTTTTTATGTATGGCTTTAACAGTAATGTCAGCATCTTGGTGGGTATAGATAATACTTGGTTCAGTTTCTTTCAGCAATGCCAATGACAGCAAGCCTGCAGCAGTAGGTACTGACTTTCTTAAAGGCTGTCCTGTAAAAGCCCTCTGTCCTCCCCCAGAATATAGAACATCACTGCATCCTCTGAGGCAAGAATTATCAGATAAGCTCCTTAAATTAGAAAACTTTGAGAGTCACCAGGGGAGTATCCGGCCCATGCTAATGAAGCCATCCAGGTTCCCCTGTAATCAAGATGCTAATGACATGAAGTTCAGACTCTGACTTGAGTTCTTCCCTCGATTCTGCCAATTGCTGGCCAAGCTTTGCAGAAACTCAGTGGAGGCTGGTCACTTGAAACTCCATTACAGCCTCATTTAAAAAGTATTTTATTAGAATACATTTAAAGATTGACCAGAGAGTGGAGGCAAGTGGATTAGATTAGTTGTTGGGAGTGGCATGATACTGTTGCCTTATGCGGTGCATGTCACTTACCATAATCCATACCAAATTCATTATTCTCTGGTTTATATTTTATTGTGTCTTCTCCTCTCAACCACCCACAATATGTGTCATGCAGAACTAAGACAGTAAAGGGAGTTTAGCTTGTCTTTGTCAGAATCAACGGTGCTTAAAAAATACCTAGCACACAGTGGACTTACACTGAGCGGTCCTGAAATCATTAATAAAGGCCAAGATCTCTCTGAAGATAACATGAGATATATGTTAAAAATGGTCCTAATATTCAAAGCAATAAAATAATGTGTCTGAAGCTTCTGTATAATTAAACTGTCATTTCTTTCAGAGTAAAGCATTTATGTTACTTTTATAATGAAATGTATTTTATAAATTGGGAATATATTTAGTCAACTTTATTCTAAAAAAATGAGAATATAATTAAATGGGTAAATGGTAAAGATCTGTTTTCCATTTAAATTTTGCAATAATTTTTATTCAGAAGCATAAATGATTTTACATGTCACTACACATCTAAAATTGAGTATAAATTATACATCATGTGTTGCTGAGCTGGAAATGACTTTTTATAACAACTAACCAAACCTGAAAAATTCATATGAAGCCCTGGATACAGTAATATAGGACCAGAGATGAAAAGGACCATCCAAAGTGTACAGATGGCAGAGACAAGGTGGCCTTAACCTTTAGAGAACTGATTCCATGTCACATTGCCTTTTATTTTCCATTCAGTTCGGCTTCAAAGACCATCCTAGAAATATATTTTTTCTGGCCTGCCAGAGTAATTCCTATGAGATTGTGAGTTCACTCAACAACTCCGAGAATGCAGTCCTTCATATTTCATTAATTCTGCCTTAGACCATAATATGAAAATATGTGGTGTGCTTATGACGATGATTAGTATACTGGAATATCACAGAATAGACATATGTAATGAAATAACTTCCTCAGAGTAAACACCTGAGAAGTGAAAACAAATTCCCCCAATACAATAAATGTCAGTGGATTCTGCTGCACTCATCCTCCACTGACCTGGCAGAGGTGCGAATCGTGCATGAAAAGAAGCTTCTAGAATCTTGCTCAACGTGAAAAGCTACACAGGCTGAAACTAGGCAGACTTTCTCTCCTACCGCTACTGCAACTGTCCTCAACCACTACTATGCTATAGAGGAAGGAGATGTACACCCCACAGGCACACTGAAGATTGGGTGAAGTGATGTTGGTAGAGTGTTGGGGCCATGGCGACATTGGGTAAGTCATAGTTAAGGTGCTGGTTGGTAGGAGGCCAGTTCTTCAAAGCTGAGAAAAAGGCTCAGTCCCAGTGAATAAATAACACACTAAGACAAACAACAAATTATACATGGAAAGGGAAATAGTCCACAGTTGGTTAATTGACCCACTTATCCGCTTCAAATTTCCTGGAGGAGGAAGGAACATAGCTGAAGGAAGTATGAATAGCTCTCGTCATGTCTATGACATTCCTGATAGCTGGTGATGTATGCACGCCATGTGCGTGTGCGTGTGTAAATAATTCATATATATTTTATTCCTGTATACAATTTTCTTCAATAAAATAATTCTACTTTTGTTTATAAAACACAAATTAACATACCATTGCTACAGACATAGGCTGGAACCTACCATGTCCTAGAGTGTTTTAAAAAAGAAATAATTTGTTATCGTATGTTTCCTACCTATCTATACCAATAACAAGTTTCTCAGAATGCATCTCACACCTGATCAAGAAGTGCAGTAAAGCCCAGAGGACTTAAATGACTTGCAGAAAGGCACGCAGCCAATCTTTGGCAGAGTAAGGACTAACCCAAAGTTCTTTCCATGTTAATCGATCAAGGTTTTTCTTTAAAGGTGTTTTCTTTTTTTTTTTTTTTTTTTTTTTTTTTTTTTTTTGGTTTTTCGAGACAGGGTTTCTCTGTGTAGCTTTGCGCCTTTCCTGGAACTCACTTGGTAGTCCAGGCTGGCCTCGAACTCACAGAGATCCGCCTGGCTCTGCCTCCCGAGTGCTGGGATTAAAGGCGTGCGCCACCACCGCCCGGCTTAAAGGTGTTTTCTAATGTTTAAATTATATAAAACTTTTATCTTGTGTGTGTTGATGTCATGATGCACATGTAGGGGTCAAAGGACAACTTACAAAGCTTGTTCCCTCCTCATTGCAGGTCCTGAGGACTGAACTCAGGTCATCAGGCACAGTGGTTCTTCCCCTCTCAGCCATCTCGCTGGCCCTCAATCAAGATCTTAATGCTCCATATATCTGTTCTTTGAGGCTGGATTAGATATTTCAGCTGTGCCACTGAAACCTAAGGATTCCATAATATTTCCTTTTTTCCTCATGTTCATGAAATGCCTATTAATACTTAATGTGATATGGACCTCTGGAAAATACATCTGTAATTTTATTCAATGCATGTTTTTGAGTGCCAAGTGGGCTTTTGGTATAATAAAAAAAAATACTAGCTTTCATGTCTATTAAGAAACATAAGCAAGCATAGATTAAGATTATATTAAAAGATTCACTTTAAAAGATAGAATTTTGAATAAGGAAAAGAAGAGAAGGAAAATCTGACAAGAAAGTATGCTATGAGGAATGTGTGGAGAGACATGAAAATCATGAGTTGTTATATTTTAACTCACTGTCATTAACAACTGTCACTTAATGAGGGACTGAGAACTGAGAGCCACTTCTAAACATGCCTAGGCATGTCAGTGAAATGGCTGTCAGCTGTTTTATCTTCCCATGGAGCTTCTGTATCAATTATACAATGTCATATTTAGCCATCAGGACAGCCGGTTTCAGATCTGAACAAGCATGGATGAAAGGCAGATCCTTTCTATTACCCTAGGAACCACACCTGCCAAAACTGTGATGTTTTTCCCTAAATATCCATTTTTCTCTATGTAATAGTATTTTTCCTGATGAACTGTCTTTCATAATATTTGAATTTTTAGTTGCTCTGTTTTATGAAAATGCAACTATATTCAACAAGCTTTCATCTATCTGTACATACTGAGTGTTGCACAGAATGAAGGTCACTTATGAACATCAAGGTAGCAAATTCCTTGTGTTTATTCTTCTTTGTAAACTTGAATGTGAGCTAGTAAGGCTTCCAGTTTTTAAAAAGTTGTCATTTTGATTATTGTGTACAGTTTCCAAGAGTATATATTTGCACAAACTATTCACTGCCTTCACAATATGGGCAGTGTCACCGTCCATAAAATACTTCCTTTCCTGCCTAAGAGAGAAGTGTTTTGGCCGGAATAAAGCCAGAAAGTGAAGTCTCCAAAGCTGTCCTTGACAGTGCTGGTCCAGTGACCCAGTTTGGGTCTGGAATGCCCCCACATCCCATGTTGTACAGTTGTCAGCTGTGGGATTCCCAGGAGGGAGTGGCATCTTTAAGGAGGTGGGAGTCCAAAGAAAGGAAGTTAAGTCACTGAGAACACAGCACCACAGGACCAAGGCCCCACCTTGTCTCTCGCTTCACATCCTCACTGCCTTGAAGTGATCAGGCGCTGCTACCACACAATCCCAATGATATTTATTCAGCCACCACAGGCCCGGTGCAACAGGGCCAGATGACTGTGTACTGAAAACTGGAACGGTGAACCAAAATAAGCATTCTGTCCCTTTGAGTTCATTGTCTCAGGTGTCTCCTCTCAGCAGCCAGCTGACTAACCCAAAGCTGCACAGGGACAGAGTGGAAGTCTGCTTGGTTTGTCGTACGGGTGGTTTTGGTTGGGTTTCAGTTCCCCCAAGAGCCCATCAATGGGGAAAGGTTTGTGAAAAGCTGAGACTATTCTCGGAGAGCGTTCCACATTTCATTAGATCTGGTGAACACTTACTTTCAATTGCCTTAATTTTGTTTTCCCACGGGACACAAGCAGCTTTGAAGTTCTCAAAGTCTCGGAGGAATTTTGCCCATTTCTGAAAACAAAGCCAAACACCAGTAAGGTACTGTCTCCTGTGTTTCTGGATGTTTATTCTCCCGTTTCCCCCAAATCCCAAGACAATGGCTTTGAGGGAGCTCTCTAGCCCCCAATACTGCTGTGTCTACGAAGGAAAACCAGCAGGACCCCCTTCCTTCTCTATTTCTCAGCACTCCCACATAACTTAATTTTAAAAAGTGTTAGATAGGCTTGAGCAAGGACAAGGACAGCCTGAGCAACACAGGCACACACCAATTCAAAAGCAAACAGAACACACACACACATACACATACACACATACACACATATACACAGAGAGAGAGAGAAAGAGGGGAAATATACTGAACACTTGGAAAGACCTGTCTATTCTACTAGACAACAGTAAAATAGAAATTTCATTATTAGGTGACTGATATAAATTATGCGTTGAATATTCAGTGCATGAGGAACCAATGGACTTATGAATAATATTTCATATCTTCCTTGAAAGACCTCTAGTCTCGTAAAGTAGATTGTAAGAACACAGGTCATTTTAATTCATGATTTTCCCTTACATGGGACACTTCATTTTGATAAAAGAGAATAGTCAACTGAATAGAAAGAGATGGTAGCACAGAAAAATGACTTCATCTTTCAAAAGGTCTTCCTTCTACTTTACTCCATAGTGTTGGGTTGGCCATGGTCAAGAGGACTGAGGAGAAGTGGGAATGAGGCAGTTAACCTTCCATGTGTCTTCTTTATGACAGGACAATGTGAGAGCTAAGTAGACACAACAGTCTAAATCTGAAGGCAAAAGATTACTCAAAACTAGAAAGGGTGTCTGCAGTAGAATATGTGAATATATAAATTGTGACATCTTCCTATAATACATAATGCAATACTAGTAAGCATGAGCTGTAACCACCCCCCCCCCCAAACAGGAGCAGAATTGAATCTGATGACCCCAATCATGTAATAAAGAAGTCAGAAACAAAGCTCAGTCACACACAGTATGACTGAACTCATATAAAAAAAATAAAAGGCAGGTAAAGCTAACTACCTGCGTGTGTGCTTTAGAATGAAGATCTTCACACTCTCCTTGCAAACCTCTCTTTCCATAGCATACACCTAGCTACAGTTTTTACAGCATAAAACCTATGGACCTACTTCACTGTGAGAAACTTGATAGAGAGGTTCGGTATTGTGTGTGGCCCACAGTAAGTGCATAAAAAAGTAAGTTACTTTTCTATATTTCTCTAAAATCTGCATTTGTATGAATCTATCATATTTTTGTTCTCTTTGTTACAGTGTCTAGTTGATGTTCTTAACTGAAAAAGAACAGGGGTTGGGGAGGAAATGCTTATGATCGTTTAACTTACAGACATTTGGGAAAAGAAGCCTTGACCAGAACCCCTGTAACCTTCAGAAAATGAAAATGGAATGGGTACACAGTCTTTTACATCTGGAAGTGGTAAAATCAAGTTAGTCTCTTGGTATAAATAAGTGTTTGCAACTATTGAAAAATTTTTCAGTCTCTCCTAAAAGGTAATCTTCAATCCCACCCCAAATTTTAATCCAACAGATACACCACACATACACTGTATGAGTCTTTGCTGTATGCATGCACACAGTTAACGTTGGTTTCACCCCCTCAGAACAGACACAGTGTTCTCTCTCTCAGGGTCACTGTGACACTGACCAGACTGAATTATGAAAATGCTTACCTTGGCCATCATCATCTTAAATGCAAACCACTTCTTTCCTTTTCCTTTCCCGAGAGCCCCTTCATTTTCACTCACAAATTTCTTGGCTTCCCTGAAGAAAGAGAATAAGAGGTAGGCAAACATGTGTTGACATACAGGTAGGAGACATTTACTTTGGTTAGATCTTTTTTCTTCTAGGCTCTCCATACCCTCAGCAACTGAACCAAAGTTGTAGTTTATAACCTAGAGACTTAAAGTTTTTTTTTAACACAAATGTTGAGTACATTGAACATATTTTCCTGTTCCTTCTGTCCCAGGTTGCACCCATCCTCATGTATACCCTCTCTGCATACCTACACTTGTCACTTCTGCTTTCAAATATGCATACCTAATTTTAGCTATCTTTGGAAAAAATCTATAGCCCAGAGGCATTTAGTGCATATTTTTTCAATTCTGGCCAGGAAAAGTAAGATATATTCAGTCTCACTTATTAATCACCTAGGGTCATTGAAAAGTGGGGGATTTGTGCCAAATGTGAAGATAGAGAACCTTCCTTCTCATTTCCAACACATATAAAATTAAACCTGAAGTTTATGTCAGGTTCTGGCAACCAGAATTTTTATTTTGAGGGTTTTTTTTTAATTCCTTTTTAAAAAAAGAAAGGAGGAAAAAGAAAATAAGAAAGAGTTGAGGACAAACTGACCTGGTATTTAATTTCATGACAGCAGTTATGGCTTACAGCACAAAAGTCACACTCCAAAACAGATGGAGTTGAAGAAGAGGATGAAAGGGACGAGTTTGCGTTTCAAATTCAGAAAAGGATTTAAATTTAAACTTCAACATGACTCCCAGATAGTAGTATATTTTTAGTACTCACATCAGGGTCCATTAAGAAGCACACTAAGTTATCAAAAAAAATGTATAATGTGACCATATTAAGTACATGTGGTTTTTATTATTGTTGTTGGATACTGAATGTTTGCCCCTCCCCATTCCAACCTGTGAGTATAATTCTGGTGTGACATCACATGGAATGGTCACTTCAGGAGCTACAGTCCTGCACTGCTGAACAACAAGGTTGGGTCCTAACGGGGACACATTTTGCATCTGTCCAAATGTCATAAAGTGAATACAAACCCATATGCTGAAAATGCCACAAGGCAATGTCATTTTATGGGATACCACAATATCTGAAGACATCAACTGAAATATCACACAGAAAATAACTAATTAGGCTTTGAAAGGAGAAGCTTAGATGTTAGAAGGGATTGCTGTCTAACCATCAGAATTAGCTAACCTCTGTCCACCATCTGAGGATGGGAGAAGTTGGTAAGAACACAACCAGTAGCTATCTGCAACTGGAATGATGTTAGCATACTGACTATGGATATCCAGCGAACAGAACAGTGAGAAATAAATGTTTGCAGCTCTTGCCACCCAGTCTAATTTGTTCTATCAGCCCTACCTGGCTAACTTCGTCATTTTGTCATTGTCATTCAATGAAAAGAACTTTAAAATTTGAGAACATGTGATCTAGTGAGAGGGACAATTCAAGCAGATCGGGGTTCTGCAGGTGCAATGGTCAGTTGGGTGGCCCCTAAAACTGTGGTTTGCAGATGAGACCCTTCACACTTGACCATGAACTTACTACCACATGGAGTAAGTCTTTTAAGATGAAAATTAGAGAGGATTTTTGTATAAGATGTCCCTTAGTAGCCATGCTAAGCATAGACTCTTATAAAACATAGTGAACAAAATTACCAAATACCAACTACCTGATCTGAGATGGGAATGGACCTTCCTTACACACCTGTGGGCAAATACCACCTATAGTCTAGCATACAAACACAAGCACCATCGTGAAGTCTCTTCAGTCAACAACCAACTCCCAATGACATTCCTGAAGAGCAGGCCACCCCTACCCTTACCCCATGGTCTTGATCTTGACAATGGAAGGTGCTCAATAAAATGTTATAAAGCTGACTGCAAAATTGTATCTAATGATTGCATTTCCCATACTCACAAATGTTAAGGATACTTATTTCTAGGTCTTAGATTGTGTCCTTCATAATTATATTTCTCTGAGATTTAACTGGCAATATCCTAGAAATGGAGTAGAGTTTTGGGCTAGCTTTATCAAATACTCTGATATTTGGCATGACCTCTGGGTTTGGATGGCTGATTGAAAAATAATTTCTAAAGCATTTGAAACACCTTAAAATATTTAATAAAAGAGTATAAAATATTATAAACTGAGATCTCATGACTCACTCTCAGACCCATGCAACAAAGATAGCATCATATTCAAATACCATTTGTTGTACAAATTTTAAGACTAGAAAAATGGCAGCAGCTATCATACACTTTATAAAATGCTGAACCAAAGGCTCTAAAATACAGACAAGGTACCTCTAGTCCTAAGCAGCCTCTTAGGACTGACTGGCCTGACTCCACAACCTTGTCCATGCTTATGATGGATTCTGTGCCCATGCTCATGAGCCCTGCATTCAGATATAAATGTATCTCCTCAGGACTTCCACTTGACTGCTCAGGGTCTGGCACAAGGTCCCTGTTACTATGGAGCTTTTAACAGGTCAGGATTTCCCAACCAACAATATCTCAACAATCCCTTTACTCCTAGAGATACGGATGTTGGCAGTATTGAAGCCAATTCTACCATAATGCTTATTTCTAAACACTGAAATTTGTTCTAATGTGATTGATATGCCATGGACTGACTTGAACAAAACACGAATTTTGGCCTTGCTTGTTTATAATTTTATTCATGAAAAACACTGGGTGAGTATAAGAAAGCATATTCATCAATGCCAAGAAGCATGGCAAATACCCAGAATGCACACAGCACATCCCATTGCCTCTCTTGCCAATACTAGAAAAGTCACACCCACTCAGGGTCAAGGTGACCCTCCCTCACACTGCACAACTCCCAAGCAGCAACCATTTTAAAAATCACTTCCATAGCAAGTCTGAAGTCCTTCTCAAAGGAGCCTGCCATGTGTAATGCAGCATTCATATATTTCTTAACCATTAAACTGTGTTGAATGCCAATGACATTTTTCTCAAATTTTATTTATTTTTTAATGTGTCACCAGAAATGTATCTGAATAATTGTGTTCCATCTATGGGTTCCCTATAAAACTCATGGTGTTTATTGTTCAAGTCCATATACTACAGTGAGCTTATGGAGAACTGATATCTTGTATTTCAGCAGAACTGACTATTATTCAATTATTTGGCATCAAGAATTTCTGAATCTAAAACACCAAATATATGTAGGAATTATTATACCATTGTGTATTATAATAAACACATATAGAAAATGAAAAATTCTGGGTAGTAAAATCAGAATTTGTAACAAAACAACCACTTTATAGGCATACTGTACTGCCAATTATATTGGTAAACCATCCTGTGCTCTTTAAGCTTATTGAAATGGAACTTTGGAAGCAAGGAGGCCCTTCCTTGTCTCCTCCAAAACCTCTTGTCCTAGTCCTAGGGCTGGTCCCTGGCTCTATAATGGGGGGAAAAAAACAAACAAAACCCACCAAGAGTGAAGGGCATTAAGACATTGCATCCTCAGGAATAACTAAAAGGTTAACTTTCTAACAGAGATTTCGTTTATCTCTACTGTGGAAATGCCTTCTGTGAGAAAAGGAAGCCCAGAGCTCATCCATGGAGAGATAGTTCAATCTGGAACTCTCCCCGATTTCTTCAGCTTCCCCAGTAGATTCCTGCTGGATGTCTGTAAGCCCCTGAGTTGATGATGTTACGTTGGTGTCCTCTCCATCAGGCTGCTCTAGTCTTCTCTGCTGGGTATTGCCTGGCTGTCTGTTGCTTCTCTCTGCTAGTATTGGTTCATTTACTTTTGCATTCTGGGTGCTTAAACTCATTCATTTGGAAACAAAAGTTCAGGTATCACAGATCATTCTCTGAACTATAAAGAACATAAATTCAACACTGTAGGTACTTCATATTTATTATGACCCACATTCTGTTTACCCTGTATTTAGAATACTCTCTACATGAATATACAGTTAGCATGTGTTTGTATCTGAGCATTTAGAAGTATAAGAAATAGCTAATCTACTCTCTATTTGAGCCAAGGTTTTTGATTGTGTGAGCAGATAATTATGCTAATTTTATAAATTGATGAACATTAAATCAGTAAAACTTAAGAGAGAAGGAAGTCAGTATTACAACCAAATTATAATCATCACAAAATTAATTCCAAATTCATTTAATAATATGGAACCATATTTGTGTGACATTAATAAAGATTTTTATTAGTTATTAAAGATACATTTTTGTTCAAATATTAGAAAGTTTTTTATTGCTTCTTTCATTAGTTACTGGTAGTTTTATTGACCCCAAGTATATTATTTTGTCTTTCAGTAGCCATCTGTTGTTCTTTGAATGGGAAATGTCCCTGAAGCTCATGGATTTAAGGACTTGGTCTGTAGCTGGTGGTGCTGTTTGATGAGGTTGTGGAACCTTTAGAAGGTGTACCCTTAGTGCAGGAAGTCTGACACTGGGGGAAGGCGCTGAGGTTTTTATAGCCTGGCCCAACCTCCTGTTTCTCTGTTTTCTGTGTGTAGAGGAAGATGTGATCAGCCAGTTTCCCGTTCCTGCTATCATACTTTCCCTGCCTGTTGCCATGACTTCTCCAGCATGATGTGCTCTGTTCCTCTGGAACCAGAAGTCAAAATAAATCCTTTCTTCTTTCAGTAGCTTTTACCAGGATATTGTATCATCACAAAGGAAGAGTAACTGGCACAGACATTGTCCTACTCAACTCAATATCTATATCCTGTCTGGTTTTCAGAGAAAGTCCAGACTACTGGACATCACATAATCTAACCTGAGTTCCTCTTTTTCCTAATGCCCTGCTCCCTCTCTGTTCTCTAACACACACATAAACACACACACACACACACACACACATACACACACACACACCACAAGAAGAGAGAAGATCCCAGAACAGCCACCACAGCTACCCTCTAGCTCCTAATGGGCAAAATAGCTATTAGACATAATTTACCAGAAATCTTGGGAGTACTTTTTAAATAAAGCCAGAAGCCAAAGAGTGAG